CCTTTAGCTGCAGAAGGCACGGCAGTCGTGGGGGCAAACCTGGAGCTGTCTCACAGGCATGAACACGGCTGTGTGTTTAAATAAGGGAGCCTTAGTGTGCAGATGGGCAAGTTTCACTCTGATGGCCTTCAAGCATAATCCCAAAATATTTCCTCGGCAGGACCTCTCAGCAAGCAGGCTGGATGGCGTGCTCTCCATGGGCTTTTATTCAGCAATTCTCATTGTCCCTTACATGGCTCTGAGCACTATTTACTGTACGGCGTCCAAATTCAGCACTGAATACAGATGTGGTCCTCTCCTCGTGGGGCTTTCAGCAGTGCCATTCACCCCAAGGCTTTTAAAATCATTACGAGCAATGTCCCTTCTGAGCCGATGGCTCCCAAGTGTTCCACACCCACTTCCCAGGGGTACCCTGCCATTTCGGGGCCTCGCTATTTATCCTGGATGCAAATATCTTGGTGCCTCTCGTTCCCAAGCCAGCCCCACTGGCATGCAGCACCCTGTTGCACAACATCAGCATGTTTCATGTCTCTAGCTCTCATTCATTCTCACATCCACCCTTCTCCCCAGCCTGCCTCTTTGTCCTGCCCCTTGCAGGGAGCCTCTGCCCTGCCAGCAGTAATCCTGAAGTGCTGTGGTTCCCTAGGACTCCCTGGTTCCCACACCTGGCATGGGAGATTGAAAAAGCCATGGCTAACATTTGCAAAAATGCTCGCTGGCTTTTGTGTGGTCAGCCCAAAAGATTTCACCATCCTGTTGGAGAGGTGCCGTGTGGAAGAGAGCACCCTGTGGATGCCAAGCACAGGGGTAAGCGTTATCTCCTTCACAAAGTGCCTGGCCAAGCTGAGCCCCAGACAAGAAGACAGAACATTATTATTGCTGCTGAGGTGGTGGCATTTGCAGTTGTCACGGCTGCTTCAAACTGTCGCCTTTAGGAGCTGACAGCCTTGTGTCCTGAGCTCGCAGTGCGTGTGACCCTTAGAGGCCAGTGATGATTCATGAAGGAGGAAGATCATGTCAAGATCCTTGTTCTCGGGATGCTAAACAAAATACCCAGATCCCCAAGGTTTGTGGTTTGAGGAAAAGCCTCTGTGGCAGCTACAGTGGTTGGTATTGCTGAGATCTTCTGGATGAGTAACGTGTGACACCAAGTTTATGTAACCACAGTGTCAAGCCCCAAATGGTTTTCATGTCATCATCTTCCACAACCAGGTCAGTTGCTTCAGTTCAAAAGCCTGACTTAAATTTATTATCAAGATTTTTAGTGTCGTTTGTTATTTCAACAAGTGAAGAGGCGGAGACTTCAATACCTTATGAAAATCATACTAGGCTTTGGTTTATTCCAAGAAGCCAGCCAAAGGTGGCCTGCGCTCTTAGTTTATGAAGAGACATCAGAGGCGATTCAAAAGAGAAGCAGGACCAGGGCAACCATTCCGTTTCTCCACTTATAAATGCTCACAGCCCAATTGCTGCTAGGTCAGGCCACACTCTGCTCTGTTTCAGGGCGGTAAGCACAGGTGGGAAACAGACAAGAGAACCACGAGTGTTTGTGTGTGTTCCTGCAGCAGGACCAAGGTGGGCTGGCTGCAGAACGTGGGAAATAAGCGAACCTCACCTTTGAAATCAACAGATTGAAGGGCTTGGCAAACCAGGAGCATTATAGCTGTCTCCTCAGGATGGATATATGAGCTGGGAGTCTGTGAGCCAGGCAGGAGCCAAACTTCCTCGGGTGTAGCTGGCTCTCCCTTGGATTAGGGAGATAGGACGCGCCACCTCTCCAGCCACACCATCCCACTGCTTTCCAGTTCTACCAGGGGACAAACAGCTGCCTGCAAAAGGAGAGGCCCTGGCTGGGATGTAGCCTTCTTAGGGAAATACAGCACAAGAGAGGTGCTGATAGTCCTGTGGGGGAGGGAATGAGATAAGGTAGGTGCTGGAGCTCCTGGCATACAAGGGGAGGCTGAAAGAGCTGTTTCTTTCAGCCTGAAGTAAAGAGAAGTTAGGAGGTCACCAATTACTCTTTGGCTTTTTTTTTTTTTTTCGCTTTGGTGTGGAGGGCTACAGAGAAGTGACAGCCAAATTCTTCTGACAGATACACAGTGAAATGCCTATGAAATTTGCAAGTGACTAGATAAAGGGAAAACCTCCTCCCTAAAGGTAGTTCAGCACTGACACAGGTTTCAGGAGGGGCTGGGGAATCTCTTCACCTTGAGATGGTTAGAAACTGCCTGGCCAAGGCCCCAGACAGCCTCATCTAGGTCTGGAGCTAGCCCTGCTGTTAGCAGGGGTTTGAAGTCTAGACCTCCAAACATCTCATCTGGATCTTCCTGTGAAACTCTTAAAACTGGGGCTCTAATGGAGCTCCACTGCCCTTTTGACACACAGCATATGGTAGTCTCCTTGATGGAAGGAATAAGGAAGCAAGTTATAGCTGCTTCCACACCCAGATACACCATGCTGTAGTATGCTGATTTTTGCCTACAGAGAGAGCTTCATAATGTCCTCCTGCCAGCCTGTCCAAGCTGTCTGTATTTAGTCTTCCAGGAGCAGAGACAAATACTCTTCTTTTGATTAAGCTGCACAGCACCTCATAGGAATTACCCAGCACCCAAATTTTTGGACTTCTTGTCAGATGTTCATCAAAACGGTGTCTCTGACAGCCTCCTGTATGAAAGATATTGGTTTCTCAAGGCTGGACAACATCTCACTGTTCTTAAGACAGATGAGATCATACTGGAGAAATTCGGTAGCTCTTCATCATTAAGTCTTTTCTCTGCACCCTGCAACAAGCCTAATTCAGTGACACCTCCCCTTCCAGCTCATTTATGGGTGCACACACGTATTTAGAAAAAAAATAGAAAAATTCTGCAGGCTTTGGGGGGGGGGGGGGGGGGGCAGGGGGGAAGAGGCAGTAGCTAATGTTAAATTATCCTTTTAAGAGCTGTACATTGCTCTGCAAATGTAATTTAAACAGAGTATGATTTGAGATGTAAAAGAAAGCAAATCCCACAAATGTTTCCATTCACAGATAGCGTCATGTTGCCAGCCCATCCCCGCGCTGTTACTCGTACTCCGGCTGCGTTCACGTTACAGCACAGCAATCTGATGGAGACATCAGCTCGTACAACAGGAGTGCTCACTCAGGTGCCGGATCGGCCGAGGGCTTGGACATTCCTGCCACAAAGAAACGGGAACCAACTCTCTGCCGCTGAGCCAAAGGGAAAGCAGCATTTGCATCTTCGGATGCACTGGACGAGGACAAATATCTGCAGTGACCCAAACAAACATGCCAGCATCTCGTATTCCTTCTGTACATTGTGCTAGCAGCGACGAACTCTTTTGATTTAGAAACGGCGCCAAGGTGGGGTACTGCTATGGCGGGATGTGCTCCCGTCCCCTCAGGGCTTCCACTCACCTTCCCTGACACAGGGACGTGGTGATGCCTCCCTGGCAGAGACTCTCGCCTGACAAATTCTTCATGTACACCACTTCCCTGCTGTTGCAGCCTGGCTGCGTTTAAATGGACAACGCCGGCTACCTTGGGCGCTTAATTGCCTTCCTTGCGCAGAAAAGGACGAATGGGAGGGGCGGGGGGAAGGGGAGATGCTCTTGGGAATATGGAACGTAACAAAGTTTTGGTTTTTTTTTTTTTCCCAAAAAACCTGCCCTGATTGCTAAGCAGTAGCCATACTGTTCACAAAACCCCAGTATCTAAAACAAAGGAGCAGTGAGGTGTACAGCGGGAAAAGACAGCCCACTGGCTGTACCCAAAATGCACATTTCTGCAGGAAAAGGGCGCTGTCAGGCACAGAAGCGCTTTTGCGGGGGGCAGGACGGCGGGGAAGGGGCTGGGGGCCCACAGGAGCCGCGGGGCGGGGGAAGATGGAGCGGAGCCTTCCCGGCGGCACCGGACTACAGCTCCCAGCGAGCAGGGGCGGGAGCCGCGCTGCAGCCGGGCACCGGCAGCGATTCCTGCCGCTGGGATGTGTGCCGTGCGCTGGTGATGCCCTGGAAACCAATCCTGGCTCTAGCCTAGCATTCTCCCTCCCACCGTCTTCTCCGTTCTGGGCATGTGTGCCAAAGTCTTTGTCTTCCCTTCTTGGACTTAGTCCTTAATCTATGCTGTTTTGTAAAGGATCAGCAGTGAAATGTCAGTGGTTTAAAGTTTTGGGTTTTAAAGTCTGCGTTAGGACACAGTCCAGGGGGATTGGGACTTGCTGAGCAACCCCAGAAACAAACTCAGACAAGAGTTAAGCAAGGGTCTGGAAACTTTCTGTAGAGAGGTGGGTCGGAGCTGAGTGTGCCCAAGAATATAGTAGGGCTACTGACGTGAATATAATGGTGGGCAAGGTGGTTTTATCATTTATTCTCCAGTTGTATTTCTCACAGTAGCACCCCCAACCCCCCACCTTCCTTTGAGTCAGTGCAGAACAGAGCTGTTTATTGAGCAAGCACTGGGATTTGCTGGCACCCAGCCTGCTGGGGCACTGCCTGGAGCATGGGCAGCTTTCCCCAAGTAATGCTGAGTTGCCCCTGTGAAAAAAGATGGAGCTGAGAGAGACTACCCATCCCACCTACACCTCCAGTCACTGCCCTACAAACCCCTGCTGGGGGAGGATGACCAGCGTTTTCTCTCTCAAAGACTTGCCATTTCTCTCCACCCTCTGGGTCCTGCAGACGGCTGGGGGCCCACCCTGAGGCCTTTACATCAGTGCACAGCAGATCTTCATGCAACACGGTTTGGTGAAGATGACAGGGGTAAGTCATCACACACGCCTTCCCTTTGGTGCTTCCCAGCTGGCGGCCAACAGAGCGGTCTGGCTGTGGGACAAAGCTGTGACAGCAGGTGAGGGTAGCTGGGCCTTCTCTTCCCCTTGCCAGTCCCCTCTCCCTTTTTTTTTGTTACCTTTCTGTGTGAGCATCTCCTGCTCTGGTGGCAAAATGTCCCCACTTCCCCCACACTGGTAACTAGAGATAAACATCAGGCCAAGTCAGGCAACTCAGGTGTGAAACACATTTTAATAGAGTTTAGGGATCTGTAGTTTGTCTGTTGCTCAGCTGAGCAGGGGCTGTCCAGAAGGTGAAGCAGACATCATGGGCAGAGGGGAGGGTGAAGGAGTGCAAGAGGGAAGGGAACAGAGAGAGAAAAGTCACAAGAAGCAGATGAGAGCGTGGGTTTGTTTACGGATGTGCTTTAATCTATTGCCCCGCAGTTCTGTGTGCTGAGCCAGACACTGACAGCACGCACACACACGCAAACACACTCACACATACGCAGGGTGGGACAGCAGTGCCACAGACTGACAGCACACACACACGCAAACACACACACACCAGGGTGGGACAGCAGTGCCACAGACTGACAGCACACACACACGCAAACACACACACACCAGGGTGGGACAGCAGTGCCACCGACTGACAGCACACACACACGCAAACACACACACACCAGGGTGGGACAGCAGTGCCACAGACTGACAGCACACACACACGCAAACACACACACACCAGGGTGGGACAGCAGTGCCACAGACTGACAGCACACACACACGCAAACACACACACACCAGGGTGGGACAGCAGTGCCACCGACTGACAGCACACACACACGCAAACACACACACACCCACCAGGGTGGGACAGCAGTGCCACAGACTGACAGCACACACACACACACACACACCCACCAGGGTGGGACAGCAGTGCCACAGACTGACAGCACACACACACACACACACACACACACACACACCAGGGTGGGACAGCAGTGCACAGACTGACAGCACACACACACACACACACACACACCAGGGTGGGACAGCAGTGCCACAGACTGACAGCACACACACACACACACACCAGGGTGGGACAGCAGTGCACAGACTGACAGCACACACACACACACACACACACACACACACACCAGGGTGGGACAGCAGTGCACAGACTGACAGCACACACACACACACACACACACCAGGGTGGGACAGCAGTGCCACAGACTGACAGCACACACACCCAGGGTGGGACAGCAGTGCACCTCAACACCAAGCTGCTGGCAAGCACAGCCCAACACAGCACAGTCCAACACGACACTGGCAGGGCTCAGTGCAGACACATGCCCGGGGCACAGGGACGCTGTAGGCCAGGACACAGGCACACACCCACACACAAGCACAACGAGAGCGAGCGCTGGCAGCGCCCGGCTGGACGCGGCCGCAGTGTCCGAGCACACGGATGGTCACCGCACATGCTTCAGCACCAGGGACACGCTGGGCACCCGCTCCCGTGGTCTGGCACGGAGCAGAGAGACCCAGGTGAGGCCCTGCACAAACAACAGAGACACACAATGCCTAGGTCCAGGAATGCTTATGAGCCCACAGCAAGGGACAGGGTGTGGGCCGCTCTCTCATCCTTCGCCTGGGTACAGCTAGCCAGGGACACCTGAACTCGAGGGGTTTCGAGGTGAGAGGACACCAGGTGACAGAGTGGGGAGAAAGAGCAAAAAAGGGAGCAGTGGAGGGAAAGGGGGGTTCAGAGTCTGTGAGGTGGGAAAGAGCAGCAGGGTGGCTGTGCCCTGGGGACAATGTTCAAAGAACACTTGGGTTGCGGAAGTTGTGTCCGGCGAAGCGTGCTTCGTCGCCAAGCTCTTCCTCAATCCTGCAGGAGAGAGACAGCACACATCGGGCCCTTGCAGTGAGGGAGCATTGGAGGCACCAGGGCCCTGGAGAGGCAGCTTATCAGCAGGAAGCTGACATGTGCCCGAGAGCTCAGCTCCTGCCAGCTGCTGTGACTGCAGGGCTGCACCTCATGCCAAGGAGGAGGAAAGGAGTCTGCCCCAGAGGCCTCCCCAGGATCCTACTGTCATCTCTGTGCCTTCTCTTTGTAACATTTCACCCACAAGCTCCATCCACCCTCGGGCTTTCAGCTTCTCCCACCCAGTTGGTCACTCCCCTATTCTCTCTTCTGCATTCCCAGCCCTGGAGCCCCTTACCTCATGAGCTGGTTGTACTTAGCCAGGCGTTCAGACCTGCAGGGAGCACCCGTCTTTATCTGTAAAGCATTCCCCAAAGCAAACACTGTAAGACACTGTTATGACTTGCACCAGTTCCTCATGGCAGGGTAGGGGATTCTGTTTTGACACCCCTTGGCTTTTCTCCAGGCCTGTGCACAGCCTGGTTTCACCTACCTGCCCAGTGCACAGTCCTACGACCAGATCAGCAATGAAGGTGTCTTCGGTCTCCCCAGACCGGTGGCTTACCATCACACCCCATCCATTCTCCTGGGCCAACTTGCAGCTGCAAGGAGTGAGAAATGCAGTCAGCAGCTCCTACTCCTACAATTACCAGCTGCACAGGGTAAGATTCGGGCACACTCTGCTCCCACTCTCAGCATCCTACACTTTGGCAGAGACACAAGTCTGTTCACCCAGTGCATGGTGTGCCACCTGGCTGTGGTTCATCACCAGCCCATTCACAGGACAACAAGGGCAGTGGGCTGGACTCACGCTTGGATGGCCTCTGTGACAGATCCAATCTGGTTGACTTTGAGCAGGAGGCAGTTGCAGGCTTTCTCTTCAACAGCCCGCTCGATGCGCTTGGGGTTTGTCACTGTCAGGTCATCTCCCACTATCTGAATCCCCACATTGGCAGTGAACTTAGACCAGGCCTCCCAGTCATCCTGGTCAAAGGGATCCTCAATGGAGACCACTGAAAGGACAGCCAAAGAGGCACGAGTCACAGCTGCCTCCCTTCCCACCCCTGAAACACAGAGGGTTTGTGCCTGGTCGCTGTGCAGCACCAGTGCTGATCCCCTGCGGCCCCGCGCAGCACCTCACCTGGATAATCCCGTACAAAGCTTTGGTAGAGGTCTCCCAGCTCATCTCCAGAGATATAGCGGCTTGGGTCATCCGGGGACTTGAAGTCCAGGTCGTATTTGCCGTCCCGGTAGAACTCGGAGGCTGCCACATCCATGCCGATGACGATCTTGTCCGTGTAGCCCGCCTTGTCAATGGCTTCCTTGAGCAGCTCCAGAGCTGAGGGGAGAACCAGAGTCAGGAGAGTCAGCCCGTGCAGAGAGCTCTGCCTCTCGGTGGGAGCCTCCCTTGGGAAGGGCCCCAGAGCCACCGAGAGTCTGGTGGTGTGATGGAGAACTAGAAGGGAGCCCAGAACACAACAGAAATGCCAAGGAGCTGTAGGGGCTGTGTCCAAAGGGACAAGGAGGAATCAAAGTGCAATTCCACAGCTCAAAGACAAGTTTGTGGAAAGCTTTGTAAAAACATGCACATCATAAAAGGTTTGTATGGAGAGGCTGTGACAGATCAAGGTCACCCCAAGGAGAAGGAGCTCAGAAACATTCCCTAACACAGGAGGTCAATGACACTGAGGCATCATCTTTTGAATCAGTCCAGGGAATGCTGTGAGCTGGGCATAGGGACCCGTAGCATTGCAGGCAGGGGTACCCCATCTCTGTAGGGCTCTCACCTTCGCTATTTTCCAGGATGTTGGGAGCAAAGCCTCCCTCATCACCCACATTGGTAGCATCTTTGCCATACTTCTCCTTGATGACGCTCTTGAGGTTGTGATAGACCTCAGCCCCGATGCGCATGGCATCGCGGAAGCTTTCAGCTCCCACAGGCAGGATCATGAACTCCTGCATGGCCAGTTTGTTGCCTGCGTGGGAACCTCCATTGATCACGTTGAAAGCCTGGAAGAGTCCATGAGAGAGTCAGACCGGTCTTGGCACCCCTGAGAGGTGGCTCTCAGATGGGTCACCATGCCCACACATGCCACATCCCACAGGGTAATGTAAGCACATCAGCTTCAACCATCAGACCAAAGACACGTAAGCCTGGAGTCTTCCCTCCAGCAGTGGCTCAAACCACATGGTTAGGGAGGATTTTCCCACCTGTTTCCCTCTCAGAGATCTCCTGAGTCATGTGGGTTATCTATGCTCTGTTTATCTGCACCTGTTTATCAACAATGCTGTCAATCTCTCTTCCAGGACTTTTCTTCTTGACCCCGAGAAAATTTTAGCATCCACAATTCCCTTTGGGAAAGAGTTTCTCCAAGGCAGGTTCCCCTTGGTGTGAAGACCCATATGCCCTTGTATTGAACTGTGCCCCAGAGGGTTCACATGATGCCCTCTGCTTCTTGTGCTAAGAATGAGATCTTCAGTCAGCCCCTCACCACAACCTCTCCTCTATCCTCCTCAAGCTCCTTTTTTCCCATTGAAACTTGACAAATCTCAGGCCTTGGTTTGCTTGCCTGAAAACTGCAGTGCACTCAGCTGATGTTTCAATCCCATATCCCTTCCTTATCTACCTCCCAACACCTCTGAAGTTTCTTTTGGGAACAACACTCTTTTGGAGGTTCTGAAGGTGGATGTCAAGGAGGGAAGAGTCTTACTGGCACGGGCAGGATGAGGTCGGAGTTGCCGGCCAGGTCAGCGATGTGCCGGTACAGAGGCACATCCTTCTCTGCAGCTCCCGCCTTGCACACGGCCAGAGAAACTCCCAGGATAGCATTGGCACCAAACTTGGCTGTGGGCAAAGGAGGAGATTGACTTTTCAGGCGGCAACATCCTGCCCAGTGGGTGGGTGCCCTTGCCAGCCCAGCCTTGCTTGGGCAGTGCCCCCCACTCCAGCCCTGCAGCCTCCCATGCCCGTAATTTCCCGGCCAAAAAGAAGGATGGATTACATTTGTTCTCTGTGCCGTCCATCTCAAGCATCAGATTGTCTATCTTCTCTTGATCCACAACAGAGAGGCCCTGCAAGAAAGGAACAGCTCCTGAGAAGGGGATGACTGGAAGAGCTGCTGGGTCTGGTGTGCGGGAGAGGAGGCGTTGATGGAGAAGCTGGAGGTAAAAGGACTTTTTCAGCTTGTGGGGGAACATATACACACAAAGCTCTGGAAACTGGTGCCGTGGTATTTAGTCAGGTTAGGTAACCCTGATGGTGTTTCTGCAGTGCAGTGTGGATGTACCCATGGTGGAGAGGGGGTCAGCTGCAGCCCAGGCAAGGCCACGCATTGCTGGGGACACAGGACACCCTGGGGGGTTTCCCAGCCTTTTGGCAGCTTCCAGGGAGCTTTGTGGTGGTGCTGTGGTCACACAGAAGCTAGGCAGAACAACAGAACATGCTCAGCCTCAAGCAAGCGAATGTAGACTGGACGGAGCCATCCCCAGGAGTGAGGTGGAGAGCAAGATTAGACCCAGCACAGGCAGCTCTCCACCGTGCTGGGTATTTTTCAGCGGCAAGAGAGAACTGTGCTCTCAGCCAGAGCCAGCCATGGGCTGCATGGTGTGTAATATGTGGCTTTGGCTCAGCTCTCCTCAAAGCAGGCTCCAGGTCTTCAGGTGTAAACAGGCTGCAGATGTGACACCACTGCTCTGCAAGCTGTGCCAGACCCTGCACGGTGCAACCATTGCTCATCACACCAGGATGAGGCCACAGACGTGTGGATGTGGTTCAGTGCTTGAGGGGGAGCACAGCTGAAGGAGGGGGTGAGCTCTACAGGGAGCACCGAGGGGACGAGTTAGGTGCACAGATGCTGCGGTGGAGCAGGAAGAGTTAAATCCTTTCCTCCCAGAGAAAAGATTGCTGTGGACACACACAGGCATGGAGGGCAGGAGGGGTGTGCCTGGGTTCACAGAGAGCATCGCTGTGTCTGTTAACCCAGTGAGATGAAGGGAGCAGAGACAGAGATCGGGGGACAGAGATGGACCAGAGTAAGCGTTGGACAAGGGAGAACAAAGAGAAATCCTTACAGAGCCCACGAGAGCTGGGGCGACAGTGCTGTTGA